TCAAGTTTCTGGTCTTGTTTAGGCGGCCATGAGGTCAGACTTTGTGGGTGTAACTTTCCTGCCATAGCTAGAAGGTCCAATCTCAAGCAACTTTTTGGTTGTCTGGCCTCTACATTCTTCCACAATTTTGACAATATTCTCTATGCCTTAGGTACAGGAATGTTGTTGTAAATACATCAATTGGGGCTGGGTTTCACACATTCACACTGAGCCCATTTTAAGATTCATTTTAATAGGTGAATTATCATTGTACCTTTTATATAACTTTAATTCATTTAATGCAATATACTTCCAATCGATATTTTAACAATATTTAGTATGGCATTTGGTGGCTAGTATATATTTTAGATTTCCATTTAGACCAATAATATTTCAAGTGTCTGATGGCAATTTCTGGCAAGTGGCTTTCACACCTGACATTGCAGCTTACTCAAGAGACCTGAAAATTACTCAGTGGAAGTTATTCATGAAATTTCTCTCAGTGGGTTCATTGATCTAGAAATAAATATCCACCTTATAGGCCTCTTTCCTTAAATTATCCACTCTGAATCTATTTTCTGTCTTCTTTGAATTTGATTCCATTCATTCTCCATTGGAAGCAGTCTCTGACCTTGGTTTGCCCTTCAACTTCATACTCAGACAGATGCCACCTCATTCCCACTTGGTAGTCACAGAGCATCTGCACACACAGCTACTAACTATAAAGTGAAATTGTAAGTGACCACTTTTTAACCATCTAAAGACTCTGAATTCCAATAGAGTCTAGGCTCTCATTTTGTTTCTATATGTCAAAGAGTTAAAAATATAACATAAGCCTTTACCTTTTGTTAAATAGATAAATGAACAGATACTTACCTGTGAAATGTGGAACCTCCATGGCATGCAAGAGTTCATAAATGTAAGACATTGTAGTTTCCTTATAAAAGAGATTTTGAAGCTTAACTCATTCTTGTCTCCAAACTGTATGCCGTAGTATTGATGGTCTTCCTTTTTCCCAATGATGTGAATTACATACACATATATGTGTGTGTGTGTGCCAAATACTCATTTTCCTAACCTACAGCAAATTCATTCTACACACACAAACACATACTATATCCCTCACTCATTCATAATCACACACATTCACACACACGAGTTCACAGATTTACATACACTCTCCCACGTATTCACACATACTCTCACACTCACACATTCACATAAATGCTATCACACACACAAACTTTCTCTAATGTTATGGTCATCGTATTTTATTAGTATTACTATCATTTCCTCATCTCGCAGAAGCAGAAGTTCTCAAAATATCTTAACTAAAACCATCACATTTCAGATTCAGAAGAAACATTAAATACCAGCTTGCTAAACTCCTTTCCTGGCTATAGAAAACATCTTACACATGTCTACTAAGTGACATCCTTCTCTGTTTCAGAGTGCCCTCAATGACGAGGAAGAACATGAGCTCATATGATCTCCAAAGCACTATAATTGTTAGAATTTCTTTCCACTGTCTGTAGCCCTTACATCAGGATCACACAAAATATACAATGCTCATATCTGAATTGCAAATGTACCAGACGCATAGGTCTTGTTCTTTAGAGAAAGTCTGAGTCACTCAGTTGGACAGATTATCCTAGACCTAGTCTCAAGACTAACTGGTTATCACACTGTCCCCAGAAGTTAGTCTATTTGTGAAGTCTGCAAACACCAGGGACCCCAGAAAATTAGACTTTGAATGATAATCCATTCATGAGCTGAGATAATGACACTTAGTAATGCTGGTTGAAACATGGTTACCTGTATCCAGATAGCTTCTTCGACTATAGAATCCAAGTAAGAGTTCTTCATACTCAAATCATAACAGGACACTCTAGTCAAAACACAGAAAATAGTATACTTTATACTTCATAATGTCAACCAGGAAACTAGACAAAGCTTAGACTTCTCTCTACAAACTGATAGCAAGGCACTCTTGATGAAGATAACACCTACACAGCTCATTGAATATGGTCAAATTCGTGCTTATCTGAAGCCTTCACCCCTACTGGCTAATGTTCGTGGTACCAAAAGGTACCCTGCCTATTATCAAAGTATAAACCTAAACAGCAACCCAGCTACAAACCCTTCTATATAAACTGTTGTCCAACCTCCAAGATATGTTAGGGCAATGACAACACAGAGTTTGTCAGAGTAACCAAACTCTGGCTTGACTTAAGACCCACCCATGAGATGGAACCCAAACACACACTGCTTGGGTGACCATAAAACATGAGACTAAATAGTCCAGGAACTTAGGATAAATCAAATACTAAGCTAAAGGAATATAGCAATAAAATAACTCCTAATGACATTGTGCCATACTCAAAGATCAGTGGCTTGCTTAGCAATCATCAAAGAAGCTTCCTCCATAGCAGAGACCCACAGCTGAATAATATACAGAGAGTTAAAGACCTAAGAACACTCAGCTATAAAAAGGTATAAGACTGTCAAATTCCTACACCCAGTGCTAGGGAACCTGATAGAGGAGGCAAAAAGTATGCAAGAGCCAGAGAGAGTGGAGGACAAAGAAACAAGACCTTCCAAACACAACAGGACCACTGCACACCTGAACTCACAGACACTGAGGCAGCATGCACAGGGTCTACATGGGTCAACACCAGATGGGAACTTAGAGCAGAAAGGAGAAGTGGACACAAGCCCCCATCCCTAACTCTGATGCTAGCTCCAATTTAATAGCCACTTGCAAATTAAAATACACTTTTCTCCAAGGGAATCTCATTGGGAAAACAAGCTTATAATTAAGGGTAGGTACAAACAGACTGCACTTTAGTTTCCTGGCCACCCAGACCCGAATAATCAAACAAAAACTATATTAATTACAACACTGTATGGTTGGTCGGTGGCTTAAGGATATTCCTAGCTAGCTCTTACACCTTTAATTAACCCATATCTATTAATCTGTGTATCACCACTAGGCTGTGGCCAACTGGTAGGTGCTGGCACTTTTCTCTTTCAGCAGTTACATGGCATCTCTTTGATCCCACCTTCTTTCTTCCTCTATCTCTGATTGGATTTTCTGCCTTGCTATATTCTGCCCTGCCATAGGCCAAAGCAGCTTCTTTATTAACCAACAATAATAAAACATACTCACAGAATACAGAAGTGAATCTCACATTAGGTAGGCTACATGCCCAGAGGTAGATGGTCAACAGAAACCAACTCAACAGCATCTTTGGAAGTTCCTTGTCTCCTAATGTCATGTCAGGGCTTTTCCTTTTTTTGCTTTCTCTTCAACTTTAATTATTTTATTTTATTTTTATTCTTACTTTTTAAATTTTTATTTGTCTCTCTTTTCTTTTTTGGTCCTACAGGTTCTTTTTGTGTGTATTATGGTATCCAGTTTCATGTTATTATGGGATCCTGAGAATGCAGGAGAGTGAATTTCTGTGTCTATTTTGTTTCTTATGCCATTTTGGGGGCTTTTTCCTTATGATTTTGTTTGTTTGTTTGTTTTGTCCAATTTCAACATGTTTGATTTTATTTTATATTACTATATTATATTTTATTATTATTCTTTAGAAGCCTGTTGGTCTCTTAATGAAAGCAGAAACAGTGTGGATCTGGATAAGAGGGGAGATTATGGGGAGGAACCAGGAAGAGTAAAGGAAGGGGAAACCATTATCAGGATATGAGAAAATATCTATTTTCAATAAAGAAAAACATATAATAAAAATACATGAATAAAGGAAACCCATTGTCATGTCTAACTCCTTCCAAGAGAGCCCCACTGACAAGTTGTTTGGTAGCTAGCATGTATTTCACACTTCATTTAAAACTTGCCACACTTCACACATTCAGTAGACATGTCTGACTTCTGATTCTGGCATTTTTTATCTGGTCCTAAAATGCAAGGAAATTTTTTAGTTACTTAGCACTGGCTACTAAATTTTCTTGTCTTTCATTGCTACTGTCATTTTTTTAGTAGTAGCTCAAAAAGCACAACTTCAAAATACATCCCTGAACTGTCTGACTGATCCACCCCTACTGTTTCCCACTACACTGCAGCCCCTCAACTGGAGTCACGTGTCGGTATGTGTCACCACCGTTGTCTGTCTGGCTATCTTCTCCATGGTGATGCAAATGTCCGGAGAGCACAGAAATACTCTTACCATATCCAGGATGTGGCCTGTTCAAAAACACTTGCTGTTTGGGTAAGCCAAATCACTTGTCTGAATTCAGCAAAGATATTTGCGTTTCTATCTGATGTAGGGTGTGTAATCAAATATTTTTCTTCTAGCTCATTCCTTTCTAAGGTTTTAGTTCTCTTGCCTAATATCCAAGTCTAGCTTTAACTCCTCCATAACTCTGAAAACAAGCTCTCCCAGTTCATTTGTCTATTAAGCTCTCAGGCTGTGTCTGTCCTACGTGGGACATTTGCTATAACTTAGTAAGTGTGTAGCATCCTTCTACTCTTATTCTTTCCATCCCCATTTCCAAAGCTCAGTGCACAAGTACTCCATGGCTTGTGCTTTGATGAATGAATTCCTGAGATGTGCATAGAAAACATGTAGAGAAGACATTATTGAGGCAAAATAAGAAGGTTCACACCTATCAAATCAAAGTGATCCTTAAACTTCAGCCAATGCAGAATTAACTCAGTTTTCAAGATAAGCCACGGCAGGGATATCTCACAAACAAGTACACAAAGGTTTGTTACAAACCAAGGCCCATTTTATTGAAAATAAATTATGTTTCCAGCTGTAGATGTTACATCCATTAACACATTCAGACAACGGAACCAGAAGGCAAGAGAGGAAAGACTGACATTTGAGAGCTAGTAAGATGATACTGCAGATCCCAGATCACAAATATGCCTTCTAAAAATATGTAGCTGGAGGTCAAAGGCTTGGACAAATTCGTAGTTTCTTGGCCATGGGTCTTGAAAGAAGCATTATCTTCAGAAATGTCCGTTCAGAAGCAACTGCTCCTCTCCTGGGGATGTTCTAGCAACAAGAACAGCATCTTCTGTAGCAAGATGGTCGGTAGCCACAGCATCCAGACCTATAATAGGAGCTATATCCACAGCCATAGCCAGAGCCATATCCACAGCCATAGCCTGAACCATATCCACAGCCATAGCCTGAGCCATATCCACAGCCGTAGCCTGAGCCATATCCACAGCCATAGCCTGAGCCATATCCACAGCCGTAGCCTGAGCCATATCCACAGCCATAGCCTGAGCCATATCCACAGCCATAGCCTGAGCCATATCCACAGCCGTAGCCTGAGCCATATCCACAGCCGTAGCCTGAGCCATATCCACAGCCATAGCCTGAGCCATATCCACAGCCATAGCCTGAGCCATATCCACAGCCGTAGCCTGAGCCATATCCACAGCCATAGACTGAACCATATCCACAGCCGTAGCCTGAACCATATCCACAGCCGTAGCCTGAACCATATCCACAGCCGTAGCCTGAACCATATCCACAGCCGTAGCCTGAACCATATCCACAGCCGTAGCCTGAGCCATATCCACAGCCAAAGCCAGAGCCATAGCTGGATCCATATCTACAGCCATAGCCAGAGCCATAGCCACAGCCATAGCCAGAGCCAGAGCCACAGGAGCTTCCGTAGTAGTTACAACACATGTTGTCAATAGGGGAGAATTCACTTGGGTTGCAAAAGGATATTTTTCAAGTATAGATGTCTCTACTATCCTGAGCCCTTTATATACTGCCAGTAATTGTTGAAGCATACCATTCATTCCCTGACTTAACTAACAAACATCTAAACGATTGCATTCCAGTCACTGTTGACAACCATAATGGTTGCTTAAAATGAGTACATTACTCTGTAAACTCTCATTTCATTTAAAGACCATCTATTACAGAAGTTTCTCAGTCAAATCATGTTTCCAAGCACAAAATTACTCATTACATCTGTTACCCAATGTGTATCTTATATAGCAAGGTTAGAAGAGAATGTAAGAAAATCTGTCTGTATGTGTTTATGTCCCTCCCTCTCTTCTCTCTCCCTTTCTCTCTCCCCCATCTCCTCCTCTCTCCTTCTATTTTGTACCCTTTCTAAATTACCAGATTCTCCTACCTGTCTTCACTTTTACAACTCCCTCTAACCAGCATCTCTACAGATATCATATATCTGATAATTCAAGTACAAAAGCATTGAAAGGGCCTCTTATAACTTATAAGTATAACTAATATGATATCTGTATGTGAGCCTTGTATATCCTTCCTTCCTCCAAATGCCATGCAAGCTAAGACACTAAGAACATCATCATTCTTTCTCTTATGTCTTGTTTTCAGTACCAAATTATGTATTATTTTTGAGGCACCTTTAAAAATATAACTTTATTTGGATAAAAAAACCTATTTTTTAAAATCTCACTTAGATAAAAAAAACTTTACTGAAATTGAGATTTTATGTCTTTGTAGATGAGATACATGTGCATTTGTGGAATTTAATAAGCCATTTTATTCCCCATGCATTAATGTTTCTTCACCTTTAATTTGGAAGTTAAAAGATGGTGAGTAATTTTAGGATGCTGACAGCTAAGACCCCCTTGCACTTCTGACACTTTACAGAAATTAAATAGGGAAAAATATAATTTTTAGCATCTACTCACAGTGGCCAAAATTACTCAGTAATTTTCAAATTCTGAGACTTCTCCACCCCCAAAAAGGTGTTTGTTGTGACTCTGAAATATGACTTTTTCTCAGGCTCCTCAGCGATCATGTCATGTCAACCTTTCCAAGATGTAAGACAGAAGAATGAGTATCAGTTCTTTGTGTAATCATTTCTCCTTGTCGCCCTTATGCCACAGCTAAAGAATATTCCAATTTAGGCATTAAATCAAGATTTCATATATGGTCCTAAAGAAAGGGTTTTCTTTCTGCTACATTGATGACCCTCCTCTTTACTCTTAGGTGTAAATGAAAGTCACAGACTTACTATGCACTACTAAAATTTTCTTTTGTTCATGGATTAAAATATTTGGTTCATGAAGGGAAAAATAATACTGGCCACCTTTGAACTTTCAGTCAGATCCATATTTTACAGTAAATAAGCCTAAAATGATCATGAGAACTAGGCAGAGATTATATCCAAATCGAAGACTTAAATATACCAGGTCCTACTGAGGCCACCCTGAAGAGCTGAAGAGTCTACTGAAGGTCAAAACATGGTCAGGATTTAGGTGGTATATGTAGGATGTGGCTGCTTGTTTGGATGGTTGGGTGGTTGACTAATTTGACTCTAAAATTTCTATTACATCCCCCCAAACATCAAATAAGTATTATCTCTTTTTATATTTTTTCTGCTTAATTTTAAATTATACTTTTATAGATTCAAATAAATCAGAAATGTGCATAAAGTATGTTTTTGACTTTCCTCCTTATAATGTTCATATTTATATCCCTCCATATGTAAACATTTGCTGGCATATACTACCTTAGTGGTAAATAGTATATGTGCATTGTTACTCATTGTTCCACATACATGATACAGACTATCTTTCAGAATACTGGAAATGATGTAGTTAAACAAAGAGTGAAAAATACATCTCTCAATGAACTTCATCTTTCATTCCTACCATTAAGGAGTTTCAAAATTCATCCACATCCATAATAAACAAGAAGCTTAGAACATTTATCAGTATTCCTCAGACTTTTAAGACAGCTGGTTATCCTCAAATTGATGTAGGGTAGATTACATCACTTGTGACACTGACACCTGCTCCAAGGACGTCATATTTTAAAAAGGATGTGGAGCTTAACAGAGGTCAGTACACACTGTGCAGGGTGGGGAAGCCTATCGTAGCTTGGTATTCCCCCTCTCCTTTGTTCTTTCTCAGAGTACAAATCTACCAAAATAATTATTTGATCAGCAAGATATTGCTGTGTCCTGGTTGTTGTTTGTAGTTACTTTTGGGTTACCTTGTCACAAGGATTTTACTTAAACTTTGTGAAATTCCATCTAAGAGAATATTCATAAACTCTAAAGATGAGTAGTTCTTAAAACAAGCTTAGGAAAGACTACATCCTCTACAGGACATGGAGGGACATCAAAAATGTGGGATCTAGTATTCATCATCCTAACCAATGCTGCTTTCCATGTCCCTAGGTCCCTATAATCTAACCCTGGAATCCTAATCCTACATTTAATTTCAAAGATCAGATCATAAACTCATTGATTCACACCCCCACTCCTGACTAAAATTTTCAGTTTCCATGAACCACACTACAAAGAAGTGCATAAATTTTTCTCCTCTGGGTTTTCATCTCTGCACAGGCATTACTTGAACAACTGAGCTGAGTTCTAGTGACCTTAGATAAGCTCATACTAGAGAGAAGGCATTATTTTGGGAACTGGGCTTTTGCAAGATCAGATATATGCACAAAAACAGTTACTCCCCGAGCAGATCTTTAACAATCCCAACTGTAGAATTCGGTGTTTCTAATATTGCAAGAACAAAAATGGAACTACCTTCACATCTTTCCAAACTCTATAGCTGCTTTGTCATTCAGTCATGACACCCCAAGTTGAAAAACAGTATAACCCCTTATACTCATCCATGGATGGTTGTGCCTGTTGGAGATATCTGGGGTGTTGTGGGAACTTCTTCAGCCAATAATCTTTAAGGTTCTGACCCCCTTTTGGGCATGGTTTTGTGTACTGTAAGTGCAGATGAAAAGCATGCTGGATTTGGTTCCAGTTCCCAGCGCATGCAGAGGACTACGGACTGCTGCTCTTACTGTGAGTTTATTCACAAATAAATAAACTTTGTTTTTCTCCATTCTGGACCATTGTGGAACTCTTTGATACTACTACACTGGAAATCACTGAAGAAATTTTCAATTGTTTCAACTTACAGTGAGAAGGAGCCTCCTGAGTATCAAGTGGTAGAAACCAGGAATGTTCCTAATTTTACAAGACCAACAAGAGTGCCAAAGACAAAAGTGCATCTAATCTGAAATACAATACTGCTGAGGTCTAGAAACTGACTTAAAGCTATATGTATATTAACAGCTGCATCTATTAAGCAAGATTCTAATCCAAACTTGCTATTTCTTATGTTTATCACCCTACTTGACATTCAAATGTTTTAGAATTATAATTTTCTTATTTATTTTTATTTATCTTGATTGTCTAGATGTAACTTGAGTATAGTTTTAGAATCATGCACACTCCAAACTCTTCAGGTCTTTTTTATTCTAACACTCATGAGATAACAAGTAGAAGACAATATAAACCAAAAGTATCATCACTCCAATCCAATACTGGAATTCAGATGGTAGAAATAATAATTTAGATCTACTAAATTGAATTCTTCCATAGGGTTTTCACCCAGATGTCAGTTTCATTTTGTGGTGGCTTTCTGTACCAAGCATTCTTTCTCCCACTGTTGAGAAATCCCCCTTCCTTCCTGAGCCATGTATTAGTTCCTGGTTTTCCTGGCCCATCTGCTATGCTTCATCTTTAGCAACAAATATCAAGAAAATAAAACTTCATTGAGAATTTTTTTCAGTTTCTTTTCTCTTCTAGCAATTTTGCAATTCGAGACTATAAATCTTACTTTACAGAGGCCCCACAATGGGTACTTTGCTTTTCAGTACCACAACACCTACTTCCAAAACACAAAGCACCAAATTATCTCAAAGTTTTCCTATCCAGATTGTGTAGCTTCCAGTACCTCCCCATGAAGATGTTGACCCAGAAAAACAAAAACAACCTATACTATACATATCCATGGATAATCAGATCTGAATTAGTGCCTCATATAACTTGTTCTTATCAAATTACCTTATAGTAAAAAATAGAAAATTATATCAAATTAACATTTCAATGTTGGTATACCACTTATAAATACAAACTTAAAGTATAAATTAAAAACAAAAATAAAATTTAATTAATCAAGGTATTTAGACATCATATGCTTATATTCTCATGAGGCCAGTTTCGCTTTTCTCAAGTGGAATGTAATCATTTTGTATTATTATTTTCTTATGCTTCTTGCCTTGGAAAGAGTTTGGGGTAGAAGCTGCACTAAATAAATGTGATTACCTCATTCTATTTTTCATTACACCATAGTTTTAAATGCTCATTTGTAATAGATTTTTGGAAATCCAGATTTAATTATACTTAAATGCTGGATTTTTGCATACTTTAATGCAACAACTTTGGAGTTTAAAGGCACATATTCCATGGAATATATGTGTACTATAATTTAAAAATTTTGTAATGAAGTTAGTAAAATGTTTTCAGAAGTAAATTACCTTTTACATGACCTTCAACCATCCTAAATCATTTTTATTATTTTTCAGTAAAACTATAGCATCAAGAACATGATGTCATTGGTATTTTCAAAGTTAGCATTTACAGAATGACTTAAGCTATTTCTACAGCATTTTACTTAGTACATGTTTAGGGTTTTGCTAAAAAAAAATATCATGTGATATTTGGGGGGAACTTCCAGAAGAATTCAAAAATTAACATAGTAAAATATTTTATTGTTTGGGATACAAGCACTTTGACAATTTCCTTGAGTATTAGCTAGTAGGATAGGTTAGTCAATGACAAATATTTGTTAGATAATGAATCCTTACTGCCCATGAAATATATTTTAGAAATT